CAAGGCCCAATGGTGATTAATTTTATGAAACATAATGTATGAGAACAATTGTATGAAACACAATGCAAATGAAGCATAGTGTGAAATACAATGTACATCAACTTTGTAAACAAACCAATTATATATATACACACACACATATACATACATATATACAACACACTCACATATACATACACATCTATCTATCATCTATCTATCTATCTATCTATCTATCTATCTATCTATCTATCCACATGCAGGTATTTTCTCCTAGTCTTCCTTACTATATATTTGTTTAAAAGCAGTAGCATCAGCAGTAGGGGGGGAGGGTGTGTGGTCCACACTGGGTCACATTGTCAAGAAGAGGTGACACCCAAATGGTTATCCGTACAATTTTTGAGCAGTAATTCAATAAAAATGTAATGCTTTTCTAATAAAATGTCCCTGTCATTAGCTATAATAAAAACATTTTTAGAAGCCTCACTTATAAAAGTTTTATATTTTTTATATTGAATATAAGTCATATTCAATATAACTACAAGGCAAAACCTCTATGCTAATTTACTTTTTGTACCATTTAAATGGTGAAGAGATTGAAGTTGTCAATGATTTATATTTACTTAGATCCTTTTTTTGCAGAGCAGCCTGTACTTGATGGCACTCTCAGCCTGGGCTGACTGTCAGTCTTCCAGCTTAGCCCGCTGGGATGGGTCTGTCCTTTAAAAGTCCTTTTAGACCCCTTTGTGGTAATTCGTCCTCATGTTCTTCACTGCAATAATAAAGCAGTTCATGATGAACTACTTCCCCCCCCCACCCCTCCCTGCAGTGAACTCCTTTGTATTTCTCAGTCTGGGAAAACTTTGGCAACAGAAGGGTGAGGGGAGACAGCAGAATGTGGTCTGGTCTAGTGGTTGCATGTGAGCCTTGGTGTCAGCAGTCCTGGTCTTATTCCCAGAAGCCTTTCTGACTCACTTTGGGCAGGTCACATTGTGTTTGCTGGATGTTTTTGTGGATCAGAAATGTGATCGTGGCTCACTTGGCGCAGTATCAGCGACATGAGTGCTTAATGAGACCCTTAAACTGCAGATTCAAGGATTGAAATATTGTCCACACAGCAGGTGAGAATTCATTCCCTGAAGATGAGTTTAGAATGGAGTGGGGTGTGAGCAGTTTCCGAAGTCAGCAGTTACTGTGGGCCTGGGAAGAGGAGTGGACTGTCAAGTCACCCAGATTCACAGAGTGTCTCCCTGGATTCAGGGGCTGCGCCTCACCCTGGAAGAGTGATGCCCTCCTTGCCCTCCTCATGGCGCCAATTCTGGTCCTCCAGGAAGCAGACTCTCAGCTAGAATTAAGAGGGGGAATATTTATGGGAGAGATGACTGAAAAATAAGGGGAGGAGCAGCTGTAAGGATGAGTCCAGGACCAGATCACTCATGACCACTGTTCTAGAAGCCACAGCACTCTTAGGGTCCAGGAAAAATTACTTTAAAGTCAGGAGAAAAAATTAATAATGCTGGTTTTGTTGTTATTGTGTGATGTAGAGTCAGATTTTTATTCATAATGACCCCCATGCGACAGAGTCCAACTGCTGTATAGCATTTCTAGAATGTTGTCATTAGTTGCCATGGAGTCCATGTCAACTCAAAGCGAGTCTATGAACCACAGGTCTGAACCTTGCCCCATCCTACACCGTCCACATTGAGTCTCTGATATGTTTAAGCCCGCTGTGATGGTCACTGTGAATCCAGCTCCTGGAGAATCTTCCTCTCTTTCTGTGACCCTCTATCTTTCCCAGCATGAAGTCTTTATCTAAGGACTTCTCCCTCTGGACAACACGCCCAAAGGATGTGCGTCAAGTTTCACCATCCTTGCCTCAAAGGAGCACTCTGATTCTACTTCCTCCACAACAGACATGTTGGCTCTTTTGGCAAGTCCGTGGGGTATCTAGTACTCTTCTCCAACACAATTCAATAGCATCAACTCTTTTTCTTTCATCCTTACTCACTGTCCAACTTCCAGATGTCTAGGGAGCAAACAATTGAAGAATTTGATGCCTTTGGAGAAGAGTCTTAAACATACCATGGACTGCCAGGTCAGTCTTGGAGAGGGTGAAACCAAGTGTCTCCTTAGAGGCAAGGATTTTGAAGTTCCAGCTCACATACATGGCACGTGGCCAGAAGGGACCGGTCCTTGTAGAAGAACATCATGCTCGGAAGGGTGGAGGGACAGCACAGGAGAGGAAGACCCCCCCCCCCATAAGATAGATTGACAGGGTGACTTGAGCAATGGAGTTAGGTACATCAGTCAGTGAGACTGGCTCACGACAGGGCCAAGTTTAGAGCTTTTTTTTTGGTAAATAAAATTTTTATTTTATGCTTGTTCACTTACAAAATTCATATGCATTGTTTTTCACACTGGATCTTTCAGAGCTATTGAGCTATTATACATAGGGTCATTATGAGTTATGGGTGACTCGATGGCACATAACAACAGCAGGGAGCAACTGAAAAAAAAGCATAGCTTGGCTCTGGCTTTAAAAAGACATCGTTGCTTCTAGAATAGTTTCACAATAATGACTATATCACACTAAATCTAGCCTGGATTATATCATCTTTGTACAAATGAAGGCATAAAAGAATTTTTAGTAGGTGTTTATGGAGAACAGGCCCCTGATGGCAAAGGTGCCCAAGGCCCATGGAAGTTATAACAAGGCCCTGCATAAGGAGAGCCTTCTGCAGAGGGCGTAAACCTAACACTTGTGAAGAGAGGCTGGGGTGGCGGCCAGTTGCTGGCGAGTCCCAAGCCAGGTGGAATGCATGTGTTCTACAGGCCTGGAGGTGCAGCCCAGCCTGGTGTGGCCCTGGATGAACATGGCTGCAGATCTGAAACTGAGGCAGCTGGAGGCTGTTGGGTAATGCGATCTCTTGCAGGAGATTGAGTGGTCAGTCAGCCTCTATGGCCCCTATAAGGAGATCCTGAGAGCAGCTAACAAAGCATCAAAGCTCTCCTCCACTAGTCACCCTGGAGGAAAGATCTTACAGCGCACTTCCTGTTTCCTTCATCGGCCTTAAAGACTTCATCTCTACCTTGACATGCACATGAGTTCTCAGAGAACAGAGAAGTAAATGCTGGTTCTCTGTTACTAGCTGAGTTAGAGGAAGCCTTTGTGTGTGGTCAAGCCTAAAACAATCTTTGGAGAATACTGGTTAGCCAGACTGTTGGAAAGAAAAGTATAAGAACTTCTGGAAAACTCTTTCCCTAACCTAGGGGATTCTATTGAGTATTCCAGTTGTTAGTGGCTGGCCTAGTGGGCATTCAAGTTTAGATTAAGGAAGGCTTCCTTTAAGTCTGTTCCATCTGACCAACATTCTGACTGATTCTTCCTTTTTTTTTTTTATTCTTCCCTTTGACGTCCCTTTTCAGAAGGTGCAAAGTTTGAGCTCACCAGCTCCACCTTGTTTGAGGATATTTCTTTTCTTTTGTGCACACAGAGTTTAAATGATGGACTGGAAGAGGAGAGGTAGGGTTATCATTTTTAAATTGATGGATGGTGGTACAAAAGCCTGAATCTGGAGGGTCCATAAGAAGAGTTGATGCAATGGGCTAGATGTCATCAACTGTGACAGAGACCGGTGGCTGGCTCAGTGGTGGGAGGGAAACACAGATCTAGCCAAAGGGCCATGGCACTGTGCAGCCCACTAATTACCACTATAAGGTTCTCTGTTTTTTCCTCAAGAGAAATTTAATTCCTTCTCTTCATTGGTGATAAAATAGAATTTCAAATACTTATTCATCATTCTTTTCCCCAATCCCAAAGGACTTCCTGTCCTTGACGTAGTTGGTTTGTCTGAGCCTCTGAGATGATGATCTGTTTATTGACAGTTGCATGGAATTTCTGAGTGATACAAATGGTGAAAGAGTGTGGCTACTAATCAGAAAGTTAGAGGTTCAAGTCTATCCTGGGACACTTCCATAGGAAGACCTGGTGATTTGCTTCTGAAAAATCAGCCATTGAAAAACCATGTGGAGGACAGTTCTCAGACACACAGAGGGGGGGTCTCTACCAGAGTTGATTTGTTTGGGGGTCATTCACGGTTATCTGAGTCCAAGAGATGACAAGAGAAATGACATCTAAACCAGAGAAAGTATTAGAATGGTTGAACAATTTGCTACTGGGAGGAAGTAAACCTTGATCAGTCCAGGTGAGGATCTTGCTTCTATGTGCTGTAAAGAAACCATTTGTTGAAGACCTACCACATGCTAGGCAGGGTATGAAGCTTATATTACATATTTAGTGTATGAACAAATATGGCCTCCATAATTGTCTACTGCTGTTTTTGCTAAGTGGAAATGAATTCTTATTAACCAGGCATCACGTAATAAAAACAAAGATATTAAACTCTAATTGTTCTAAGCCTATAAATAGAAAGGACATTCTATTGAAGCTTCATTGCATAGCACTTTTCTGTTACTGCAACTCAAATAAATTGACAGAGCATTGTTAATAATTAGAATGACCATGTATGCAGAACAAACTCATTATCTGCATAACTTTATTGGGCAATTATAACAAAGCCAGGCATAGTCTCTCCTACTACTTATACTTATTCGATGGGGGAGCTCTAAGTGGCCTAGTGGTAAGAAGCTGCACTGCAATTCCAAAGGCACACAGTTCAAATGCACCAGCAGCTCCACAGTAGAACAGTAGGTCATCTCCTCCTATGTGATTAACTGCCTCTGAAAATCCATTGGAGGGTCAGCTATGATTCAGTTCTGACTCGACAACAAACAACAACAGCAACTCATTCCATGAGGAATTTGAGTCTCAAACTTGGAAGTTCAGGAAATTGAGGCCCAAAGAAAATCAGTAACTTTTTCAAGGTTGTAGGACTAATAAAAGATGCAACAAAACTCCGTTCTGTCCAATGACAAAACTCAGGCTTTCCTCAAGCTGGCACATCACTTCCCCCGTTCCCCACGGGAAGCCCTTATGCTGTTTCTCTGTGTGATTCTTTCAGGCCACTACATGTACGTGGACTCGGTCTACGTGAAGCACTTCCAGGAGGTGGCTCAGCTCATCTCCCCGATGACCACGGCCCCCATGTCTGGCTGCCTGTCGTTTTATTACCAGCTGCAGCAGGGGAATGACAATGTCTTTTCCCTTTACACACGGGATGTGACCGGCCTTTATGAGGAGATCTGGAAAATGAGCAGTCCAGTGAGCCCAGGCTGGAACCTCGCTGAGGTGGAGTTCAGTGCCCCTTACCCCATGGAGGTAGGTGAGCCTGGAGGGCCAACCCTGACTGCCCTGGAGGGACACCTGCCGGCCACACACATGAAGATCAAGAGACTCTACACAAGTATCACTGTTATTGTTATATGCGGTCATGTCAACGACAACTTATACGACACTGTGAACAACACATCTGAACCTTGCCCTCTCCTGAGCCATCCTATGATGGCTGATATGCTCAAGCCCACTGTCAGTCATTGAGTCAATGCATCTTGTTGAGAATCTTCCTCTCTTTCTCTGTCCCTCCACTTTACCCAGCTTTATGCCCATAATTGACCCTCCTGATAAAATACCCAAGACATGTGAGATGGAGTTTCATCATCCTTGGTCCTAAGGACGAGGCAAATCCTCCAGCACAGATGAGCTGGGTTTTTTGAAGTCCTTGAGGTTTTCAGTACCCTTCTCCAAAACCACAAGTCATAGGCATCGATTGTCTTCAGTAATCCTTATTCATTGTTCAACTTTTAGATGCATAAGATACAATTTAAAAGACCACGCTTCAATCAGGTGCACCTTAGTCTTTAAAATGGCACTGTTGCGCTTTAGTACTTTGGCAAGGTCCTTGTTTTCCACTGTTCTCAGTATTAACCTTTCTTTTCTTTCCATGGTCCACTCACCTTTGCTTCCTCCTCTAAACCCCCTTTCTCCTTTATAACTTCATTTTCTAACAAAAGAGGACTTCAGTAATATGAACAAGTCAGTTAAACACAAATTCCCACTGCCAATGAGGTAATTGAATCCATTCTGACACACAGGGACCCTGTAGGACAGGACAGAATTATCCCACAGAGTCACCCCAGCTGTGACTCTGTACAGAAGCAGCTTGTGGCATCGCTCTCCTGTGGAGCAGGGTGGCTGCTGGATTCGGCTACCTGGTTAGCAGCTGAATAACCACTGTGCCATCAGGGCTCCTTAAAAGTCAACCCCTGATTACAGAACAGGGGTGGGAGGGAGAATGTGCCCAGATGTTGGGAGTATTTGTATTTCAGACACATTCTCTATCTGAACCTTGTATAGTGGTCATGGCCTGTTGAAAAGAGACCAGCATCTTCTGAGGGAAACTCATTCCTGAGTTTCCATTCCTTAAAAGCAGTTTTGGAGGCTTCTCCTACGTAAAAGAATTGTCTTTCTAGAAGAAGAAAAAACACAACCCACCAAATTACTTGTTTCCCTCTTTCCCCTTTTATGGTACAAATGATTTCACAAAGTCAGAAACAAAGTTCTCTTATTGCCCTGCTTAGAACCAAAGCCTGCTGTCTTAATTTTCAAATGTTAGTTACACAAATGATAAATGATAAGTGCAGGAGAATTAGAAATTTCAGGGATGCTAAAATGCTTTAATCCAACTCCAGACGTAGCTGGAGGGAAACTAGCAATTTTATCCTCACAGTCTTTTTTAAAAAAAATTTCCAAATCTTTATTAAGTTTCCTTTTTAAAAATTTTATTTATTTTATTGTCTTTGAAAATGTGCACAACAAAGTATCCACCAAGCCAGTGGTAGTGTGTGTATAATCCAGTGTCATCAAGGTATGTGGCCATTCTCACTTTCCTATTTGAAATTGTTTTTCCTCCATTAACATAAGGTCATTGTCTTCTAAGGTTCCTGTCGAATTGCTCGAGTTACTGTCTTGCCGACTTTTTTCTAAGCATGTAGAGCAATACACGTCGTTGTTGTTGTTGTTGTCATCGTCATCGTCGTCATTCAGTGCCGTTAAGTCAGAATCGACCCATAGCTGACCTCCAGCAGATTTTCAGAGGTAATAAATCACATGGAAAGGGACTGCTCATCTTTCTCCCACAAATCAGTGGTAGGAAGTGACGATATTAGCAAGCGAACAGCTAACAGAGAAGATAAGACAGAAAACTTTCAAATCATTGATTCCTGCTGCTTTTGCACGTGCACACCCCCCCCCACCCCCACACACACACAAGCATAGCAAATGTTGTTAGCAGCAATAATGTCACCAAACCCGTCAGCATGTCCCCCATCAGGCCCATTGCTGAGGACAAGGTAAAATAGCATATACTAATGGAGTTGTAGGCTTACATTAGATAATACAAGTAAAGTGCTTACTACTATTTCTGGCATAAAGTTACCTATATCTAGTGATGTATTCAATATTTACAAACAAACAGAAATTTAGGGGTGGTGCAAAGAGGTAACTCTCATTTCTAGCCAAAAATTTGGAGATATGAGTCCACTGAGAGGTGCCTTGGAAGAAAGGCTTGGCTTTCTGCTTCATAAAAACCAGCCCCTGTGCAGCCCTTAAAGCACAGAGTTCTACTTTGACATGCGGGGTCACCAAGAATCAGAATCAACTTGACAGCTGAGTTTCACTGACAATGATTCAACAGAGTAGATAACATTATCCCCACAAAAGAAATAGCAAAGGAGGAAACAGGGTCCAAGAAACTGAACATTTGTTTTTCTAGGCCACAAAGCTGCTTGATTGCCAGAGAGGTTAGGAAAGTTCTGATGGCTGTGTTTTAATGCTGATGGAGGAAGAGGTTCAGCTGTGTCTGGGGACCCCAGAAGACCGCCTGAATCAGTGGGAGCAACATGGTCGCTGCAGATTCGTAGATATAACTAGAGCCTTGGTTGCCACAATTGATTACCATCTCACACTTTACACATGGTGTGCTTTGCAGTTTCATCCCCAGTTCCCTTTAAAGTGCAAAAGAAGCAGATGACGACTATGGATGCTTTTCAGCGGTGCCATCTGCTCGCCTGATGTGGGACTGTGAAAAACACTGGAGTGGCTCTTGGATTCTGAGGCGCTCTCTTTACTGATGCTGTGCCTGCGGGGCCCTGACCTCCTTTGCAGCCTCCACCCAACAGCTCCAGAGAGAGAGCGCACTGCCTTTGCAGTCATTTCCTATCCCAAAGTCTAAGTGGACCATGTTTTGCTCTCGCGGTCAGTGGAAATTTTTCTGTGTCACAAAGAGGAAAAGAAGTGCACAGACCCTTTCCAAAAAGGTTTCGTCTATTAAAGTCAAGTGAGTCATGACTTGCACATAGTAACAGTATTTTGTATGCAAACTCCTTTCCTCCAAGTCTAAACTCCTCGACATTTATGTGAGTGAGACTTCCAGTAAATTTTATGAATCAAGACTTGAAAAGCTACAATTCTGGACACTGCTAAACCTCAACCCAAATCCTTTTGGTTCATGCATGTGTGATTTTGCTCTCATTGTCTGAAATCATTCCCTGGTATTATTTGTCCTCTCTGATTGCCAAGAGTATATTAGGAAGGGGTGCCCAGGAAAAGGAAAGGACAATGAATAAGGAAAACAAAAAAATTGATGCCTTTGAATTGTGATATATCTGGTGAAGAATGCTGACTATACCATGGCCTGCCAAAAGACCAAACAAATCTGTCTTGGAGGAAGTGGAGCCAGGTTGATCCTTAGAGGCAAGGATGATGAAACTTTACTCACATGCTTTGGGCATGTTGTCAGAAGGGGCCAGTCCTTGGCAAAAGAAAAGACATCCTGCTGAGAATGGTAGAAGGTCAGCAAGGGAAAGACTGGCTGACCCTGAATGAGACAGATTGACACATGACTTTAACAATGTGCTGGGGCATGTTGGGGGATGTGAAGATCAAGCAGGATAGGGGAAGGCTTTCATCTGTTGCTCAGAGTCCCTTTAAGTTTTAGTCCACTTAACAGCACCTAAAACAATTGCCAAGAAAACAACCTTATCCTGCAAGAATCAGTGCGTTTAGTGTCATCACATTCTCTGAGTATTTTTTTTTCATTTACATTGATTTGCATACAAGTTCATAGGCATTGTGTTTCACATTGCCCTCCATTCACATTGTGTTTGTACAATAATTCTCATTTATTTTGTTTTATAAAATCAATCACCATTAAACCATGTCATTCATTACCAGGTCTTTCTAGATCCCTGCCATATCTTTCCCAGTTCCTTTACCCTCTCCAGTTTTATTTTTAAAACATTTGAGATATTCTTGACACATTACCAAAGAAGACCCATACAAAGAAGATGCATTACCACATACACGACAATTAGCGTATTTTAATCAGAAAAATTACCCAGAGTCCACCTGTTGTATGAGATCAACTCTGTCATTAATTTTATTTTTTTATCAGTGAAGGAAATGTCATGATCTGTGTCCACTTGTCAACTTACTTTTCCCCTTTCCATATCCATACTTCTTCTCTTCACTCAAGTCCTTTCTCCTTTGCCAGAACCTTATTTTCATTTCAGAGAGTTGAAGTGTGAGCGGTCTATGAACTCCCATTGTTAAGCTGAAAGGAATCTTAGGCATAAGCTTGTCCACACTCTTTCCCAATCCACTGCCCAAAAATGAAGCAAGTGAAGTCTGGAGGAGAGGGGGGGATTTTTTTAAAGCTAATTAGTGACTGACTTTGGGTGTGAATCTCAGTAAAATTTGAGATGTCAGCCTGGTGGAAAAGGCACTAATATAGTTCATTTTCTAGGCAGTCAATTCTGAATGGACGCCCCTAGGTGGCTCACTTAGCTGCCACTTGAAAGGCTCAAGATTTGAGTCTACTCACAGGCATCTCAGAAAAAAGCCCTGGCCGTCCACTTCTGAGTAACCCGCCACTGAACCTTCCTATGCCGCACAGTTCATCTCTGACACCCATGAAGTTTCCGTGAGTTGGAATCATCTTGGTAGCAACTCGATACTTGTGAATCCTATGCTGGTGTTTTTTAGATACATGATCTGCTCAGTCATCCTACAAGATAGATGTCCAATATGCCTATTTTATAGATAAGGAAATCTAGGTCCCATGAAGCTTAGGTTAGCTCATTTGCCCAAGGTTACCTAGATAGAATGTGATGGGAATAGAATTGGAATTCTGGTATGTCTGCCTCTGTCTGAATCAATATTTTCTTCACAAGAGGTTGTAGACTAGAAACCTATGGGGCAATTCTAGCCCATAGTGATTTGCCTGGTTGCCATAGTGAGTTTTCACTTTATTGTTTTAATTTTGAATGGCCAATACCAAATCTATACATCCTGGTCCCCTTGACAGTTTGCTAGCTATGAAGGCGGGAGGCCTGAATTCCCACCAGACAGCAGCTGACAGAAGTTGAGTTGCCGTGACCCTTCAGGCAGGACTTGACCTCTCCACTTGGTCAGCCTGCCACCTTTCTGAACACATCATGTGCTGCCTGAGTCATGCATTCACGTGCTGGCCCCTGTGGGTGTATGAGTTTGCAATCCCCACTTAACACTGTATCTTAGTTTATCAATTCCTCCAAAGCACAGGTGAGTTGTTTTCTCAGCAGCAGCGCATGTTGCAATGACTGTGCCTGAGCCCTGTGGTTACAGGTAAGAGGTGGCCAGTTGATGGAGCTCAGAGTTAAAGTCTGTGGCAGGGAAAAGAACAGAACTATAGAGATTGAACTCTTTGATCCCGTACTCTTCCTAACCAATTAGATATGCTGGAACATGCAAAAATCCTCAAATTCCATCCAAACATTTTCTGGGATTAATTTGAGGTCTCAGTGTTATTATTTCTGACTACTGCAGAAGATCAAAGACTGTAGGCTTCACTATGGATTACATCCAAACATCAAGAAATAAAAAATCCTCACCACAGAACTGTTACCATTTGGTAACCATGTTACCATTAGGTAATGTCATTACAGATGGAGAAAAAGGTTGAATTTGTCAAGGATTTTTCATTGTCTTTGGATTCACAATCAATACTCAAGGTAACAGCAGTCAAGAAATCGAAAGACACGTTGCATTGGGGAAATCTGCTGTCAAGAACCTCTCCACAGTGTAGGAATGTCAATTTAAAGCTCTTAAAGGCACATCAGATCCAAGCCCTCGTCTTTTCAATTGTTTCCTCTCCATATGAAAGTTGAGCAATGAATAAGGTTGATAGAAGAAGAATCGATGCCTTTGAGTTGTGCGTTGGAGTACTGAATATCCATCCCATGGACTGACAAGAGAACAGGTCTTTCCTAGCAAAAGTGCAACCTTAGAGACAAGGAAAGTGAAATGCGCCTTAAAGACAAGACATCATGCTGGAAAAGGTGGAGGGTCAGAGAAAGAAAGGACGACCTTCAACAGATGGGCTGACAAAGTGGCTGTAGCGATGGACTCAACCAAATCAGAGGTTATGTGGATGGTGAAAGATAGGGCAGGGTTCAGATCTGTTGTTCACAGAGTCACTATGAATCAGAGTGGACTCAATGGCACCTACCAAGCACAAGAACTGCATCTTTGTTCAAAGCTTCACCTCAGATAACAGGGACTAAGAAGGGAAAGGGCCTCAGCAAGGCTTCATGCCCTACACATGGCAGCGGGGAGATCCTACCCAGCTTTCTTCACGTAGCTTTGTTGTCCTTTGGCACAGATTCTAATTCTAAATGATAATTCTTGAGTTCTGTAAGAAAGTGTCACAGGTACATTAGCTGACCCTCAAGGGGGAGAGAAAGCCCCCCACAAAATGGCACTTAGGGTTTAGTATTCATTAAAGAGGGCATTGTCGAAACTCCTTTATTTATTCACACGATTCTGTAAGAGCTTAGAGTCCTTGCATGGCTTGCCATAGACACGTCATTTTATATTGTGGGTTAGAACATTAAGCCTAACAGAAAATGCATAACCCATGACAAATCATCCTTTCCCTCTGCAGGTTATTTTTGAAGTTGCTTTCAATGGTCCCAAAGGAGGGTATGTTGCCCTGGATGATATTTCTTTTTCTCCTGTTCACTGCCAAAATCAGACAGGTAAGACTTCTGACTCTCTTCTTCTTCACATTTGGAATCATCCTTTCTCTCTAGATCCCTACAGTATGGTCTTGCTTTTATTACTTCTGATTTTCTCACCTTTCCCATTATCTCACACATCAGTAGTTATTTGACTGAATGGTCATTTTCCAGAAATACAGTTGGAATGTTTTGGCCATGTAGTGAACCTAATTCTTCCGAAACTGCAGGTTATTGTCTTGTGAAAAGGAGTTTTTAACTCTCTACATCCCAGGAAAGGAAAATAAATTACCCCACACTCTTTTTAATCTCATCTTTGTCTTTAAAGGACAATCCTGTCCATAGCTAGGTGGATGGGTGAGTTTAAAAGACTCTCAAAATCTACTCCATAGAATTATGAAACTGTTCTCAATTTCATGCATCCAAGTCTCAGAAATGGCTTTATTTTAAAGAATTTTAATATTTAGTACAAAATTACCACTGTGATGTTGTTACGTGCCAGACAGTTTAGGGTAAATACTACATGCTCTCAATTGAATTATTTTCTCTCTCAAACTGAATCGCAAGTTATATTATTTCATGAGGGTCAATGTTATCATTTTCATAAGACCAGTACTTGAAAAAGAGAGAAGACATATCTCCTCCTGGGAAATTAAATAACCAAACTGATCCAAAGTAAATTGGAAAACAAATGTCTTAAAATAAGAAGAAAGACAGGGTATTAAGGTTAACACAGATAAATGTAATTGGTCTTACCTTCTAGTCAATTTGTTTCCTTGGGCAACCCCAGAGACACACAGTGGCCATCAGGGATTGAAGCACGGAAGGAAATGTTTCACGTTGGCCTTTGTGGTTTGACTTTCACGAAAGATAGAGTTGGTCTCTGATTTAATTTCATTTCAAGTACATTCACTAAACAAAGGAATTGAGAAAAATAGTTTGGACTTAAGCAAAACTATTACTCTCACATCAAAGAGAAACCTCCTAGGCCTTCTCTACTTGTTTACTTTCAGAGACATGACCCATCTCTCTCTGGGACATATCTTTTCCCACAAAACTGTATTTACTTTCACCTTCAAAAAAAAGAGATAAGTCTATTATTTTGTTGATTAAATATTCTTTCCCCCTAATTCTAGTTAAAAAAACAGAACTAAACTGAGTTTATATATTTTCTGAGATGATTTATATAAATAAAGATTGCAACAGTCTTGATATGTGACAAAAGACAGAAACCAAAATTGATTTACGTCTCTAAATATGAAATGTTCATTAATCCCATCAATTAATATTTCAGCTTCTTTGTGATTAATTTTAGAAAGTTCCTTTTCTCCACACTAGGTGCCACTTCAAACTTTTGTGTTTTCGAGTTATCTAAGGGAAAGAGTATTATTTATTCAGTATCTCATTAAGGAGGGTAGGCTAAAGAGGCAGGTGGAATTGGAAACTGAGCCACTATAGTAATACTATTTTGAAATGCTCTCTTTTTAAAAAAGTACAGTCTATATCCAAGTTTTTTCCCCACTACACTCTGGTGACTTCATCAATAAAGATTTGCTTTGCTAACCCAAAGACCAGCAGTTCAAATCCACCAGCTGATCTGAGGGAGAAGGATGGGAAATCTTGTGTGACTTAAAGCCTCTGAAAACCCACTAAAGGGTCTGCTGAGTCCTTTCTGTGATATAACAATAACAACACTACTGGTGATTTGAATCTAAAAAGAAACTTTCCAGTAGAACAAACAACATTGTTCAAAGAGCTGGAGGCCCATCAGTCTGTAATATTCAGCCCATCACATAATGACCTTTCTTCTTCAGGAAGCTCCAGAGGTGCACATTTTTATAAAAATCCATATTGGTCTTCAGAATTTCCTACCACACTAACATGGCTTTAAAACGGTTCTTCCTGAGCGTAATTGTGTGATCATAACCTTTTGCTCAAGAGTTTTCAAGTCATATCCCTACTCTACTGTACAAAGGGTTTTTGAAGGCTTGTTATTTCAGTAGTGTATGGCCAATCCTTCTTTCTAGTCAGTCTTAATTAGAATGCTCAGATATAGAACAGTATCTTACAGTCTCCAGGGATGTGTCCTATCTCCATACCTTTTCAATCTATATGTGGAACAGATCATCTGGGAGGCTGGGCTCTATGAGGAGGAACGTGGCATCAGGATTGGAGGAAGACTAATCAACAACCTGTGTTATGAAGATAACACAACCCTGCTTGCTGAAACTGAGGAGGACCTGAAGTACTTGCTGCAGAGGGTCAAGGACTGCAGCCTTCAATATGGATTGAAGCTCAACATCATGAAAATAAAGATTGTCATCACTGGGCCAATTGAGCAGGTCTCATGATAGACAGTGTAGAGATTAAAATTGTTAACAGCTTTAAATTTGTTTGGCTCCAAAGTCAACATTCTTGGTACCAACAGCCAGGAAATCAAAAGATTAATTGCATTGAGAAAATCTGCTGTCAGGGACATCTCCAGAGTACTGAGGAGCAATGACATCAGTCTGGAGACTAAGGTGCACCTGATCCAGGCCATAGTCTTTGTAATTATGTGCTATGCATCAGAAAGCTGGACATTTGATGCCTTTAAGCTATGGTGCTGGAGAAGAGTATGGACTATACCATGGACTACTAAGAGAACAAACAGGTTCATTCTGGACAAGGTGAACCCAGGTTACCCCTTGGAGGCAAGGATTCTGAAGCTTCGTCTAACATACTTTGGGTATGTTGCAAGGAGGGACCAATCCTTGGAGAGGGCCATCATGCTTGGGAGGGTAGAGGGACAGCACAAGAAAGGGAGTCCCTCAATGAGACTCAGTGAATGGGGGTAGGTGTGTCAGAGACAATAAGGTTGGCTCAAGATAGAGCAGGGCTCAGAGCTGTTGTACATAGGGTCTCTATGAGTCACAGGTGACGTCATGGCACATAACAGCAACAACATCCCTACTCTGCTATTTCCAAGCTCTGTGACCTTGAATGTGCCATTTAACACCTCTGAGACGCTGTTTCCACATCTGTATAGTTAGGATGGAAGAATTTGTTTCACACAATATTAAGAAGAATCATGGAGTTAATGTCTGAAGAGGCCATAGACTGGGGAATATGCTTGGTTATGAGAGTTAATATTATTTATTTAATTGCCAAAATACTCCCACCCTTTCTGGAACACAGTGGATCGGATTGAAATCAAAGATTACCAGCAAAGGGGACTTTGGAGGTACATTTTTGAGGTGCATGCAGGCCCCAGCAGGCGTTCAGATCCTGATCCTTAGAAGCAGAGCTTTGAATTTTTGTTCTTTGTCTTAACATTTCACAAATAGTTTATGCCCTTCTGTTTCATAACAGGTGCCAACATTTTTCCTTTATCTCGGTTAGCTGCAGACTTGTTTTCTCTGCTTTTTCCAGGTGGACAAATGTTTTCTTCCTTCATCTCCCTAATAGACTGAGGAGTGGTTTAACGTCTGAGCCGTCACTCCTACCATCTTGTTGGCTTCAAAGTTAATCTGGTCTCTCAGAGCTGAGACTTCTAGCCTAGTCATAGGTGTTAAACACCAGTGCCATGTCACCCCCATAGTGTCCCCCAGGATGATTTCCAGGAGACACAGAAAGCCCCATCCCAGCTTGAGTTACAGCACTCCCCTTCTCCTGCCACCACAATAGCCAATAGTCTCCACTCCCTAATTTGTTCTGGAATCTAGAACATAGGAAGAAACAATTCCTTTGGTCTGTAACTCCTTGAATTCCCAACATGTGATCCCATCTACTTCTAGGGATCCTGTCTTAATGCTCAATTCAGAATGAAAGAGCTACTTCTCTGTCCTTTGCAGGCAGCTTAGCCTTTTCTCAGGCTGTGAGACTATCCCACACCCTGTCTTCTCACTGTTAGGACCTGACATTTTAATATCATTGACTACAGTGTTTGGAGGAGCTCCCTGATTAAAACAAGCTTGGAAGCAGGAGTGACCTTCACTTCCGAAATACCTTGCCTCCAGAAACTCTATGAACTTGGAGGAACAATGAGAGTTATACAAGTTATTCATTCATAGTGTCGTTATGAGTCATCTACGACTCAACGGCACTCAGCGACGACAACAACAACAACAACCAGGGCCTGAATCCCAGTGTTGATTAGTGATCATTCAGATTAACAACAGCCTGCCCAGACCTATTTTCTTTTATTTATTTTATTTTATATTTTCTGTGTGTGTACCATCAAATTGGATCTGACTGGTACAGGAGGAGATTGCCCCTCCTTCTCCAGCAGAGCATCTGGTGGATTCAAACCGTGCGCTTTCAGGATTGCAGCAACTTGTTGCCACTAGGCCACCAGAGCTTCCTCCAGACCTCTTTTTTTTAAATTATTATTATTCATTTTAACGAAAATTCACAAAGATTTTGGATTTCCATTCATTCATTGTTGCATTTTTCTCCCTGCCCACCTCTCCCCTCCTAGTTCACTCTTCTTCTTTGAAAAGTAAGAGAAAAATTATTTCATTGTTATACAATTCCTCCTTCAAGACCACTCAACTATGCAGCCTTCGTTCTAGACCTCTTTTCTTTCCTTTTTTTTTTTTTTGGTGTGTGTGTACCGTCAAATCAGATCTGACTGGTATAGGAGGAGATTGCCCCTTTCTCCAGTAGAGCATCTGGTGGATTTGAACAGCGTACCTCTGGGACTACAGTGCAGCTTCTTGCCACTAGGCCACCAGAGCTCCACTAGACCTCTTTTCTAATGGCACCTGGTGACAACTATTTATTGCCTGTGCTGTAACAGTCATCCTTAACTCAAATGTCCCCACCCCTCCTCAGGGCCTCCACAACCTTTTCAGTGATCCTCTCTTGGTTCCATTATGGTTCCTGAATTCCACTATTTTTATTTCTTAAGCCAACCTCGAGCAATCTCAACCTGTTTTCCACCTACCACATGCTAAAATAAAACTACTGTGCCTATTTAGCCGCCTAATGGTCTCACTGCCCCCAATTGCTCTTTAGTCCCTGAGGGACTGATGAGTCTTCTAGGTCTACACAAATGATGCCGAATTCAGCTCTGTTAACTTCACAGAATACGCAAGAGCCTTTCCTGAATAATCTTCTCAAACTGTAACATGCTCCTCAGGAGAGATCATCTTCAAAACTGTTCATTTCTAAAGTTCACATGTCAATAAATAATTATGCCACAGATTTTATGCTGCTTTTGGAGTCTTACTTAAAGGGACTTGGCTTCATTTTTCCCCCCTCAGCAACAGCTGCTGAAGGGATTTCCAGCTGCCTCTGTTCCTCCTTGAGCCTCACATGTCATTAGCTCTCCCAATTAGCTTAGTGTCTGGTCTTTGCTTGACTCACACCTCTGGTAGAAGCTGAAAGCAAAGGCTTTCTGTCAATTTCAGTTCTCTAGTGAGTTTCAGAGCTTATGATAGGTCACAAATGAGAATGGAGACACAGAGTTGTTGTTTTTTTACGAAAATTTTAATTTTATACTGGCTAACTTACAAAGTTCGTATAGATTGTTTCTCACACTGTATCTTTCCCCTTTCCTTTACCCATTCCTCCCTCCATCCATCACACTGTGTGACCCTATGATTAACGACCCTCCCGCCCATCCTCACCCCTCTACTCCCACCCTCCTCACCTTGGATCCTCATACTTATTCTGCAATAATGGTCTTATAAAATTTTTGTCCTTATGGGACTGAGTTCACTTAACATAGTGCTTCCCAGTCCCTCCCAAGTTAGGTAATAATTTAAAAAAGCATTGCTCCTGTGTGCTGCGTAGTATTCCATTGTGTGAACATACCATAATTACTCAATCCATTCTATTGTGGTTGGATGTCTGGGCTGTTTCCTTGTTCTTGCGATGGTAAATAATGCTGCTATGAACATTGACGTGCAAGCCTCTGTTTGTGCCTCAGTTACCATTTCACCCCCATAACAGTGGTAGAGTTTATCTGGGCAGCAAACAACTGCTTGGAGAGGATGTGGAGAGATAGGAACTCTTATACACTGTTGGGATTGTAAAATAGTACAACCACTCTGGAAGGCTGATTGGCATTTTCTTAAAAAAAGCAGAACAAAGACACTCTGTATGACCCAGCCATCCCACTCCTGGGAATATGCCTTGCTCACTTTCAAGGTTTAATATGTCATTCTGCCCTGTCCTAACATCCAGGTGCTAACATGTCTGTTTGAGGTTCTATAAGGGAGTGAGTCTCCTCGAGTAAAGAGTCACAGCCTGGGAGACTTGATGGGTTACTGAGAGTTGGAATCAAAGGTAGTGGCTGGGTTCTGCCTCTCAGGTGCAGCTACAAATGGGCTATGTTTCTGTTGCAGCAGCTCAAGGCTCCTGGTTTGAGATCCATTGCTAATGGAGAATTCTTCTGGCATGTTGCTCTCTCTGGGGCCTGACTTTGGGGAGCACAGTGACACTTCCTGAGCTATTTCTGCATTTCCAGGTAGCAGAGGGGTGACTATTTCTGAAGATCAAAGGTTTTCCCAATGCCTCTCATCTCCATGGATGACTCTCAAAGGGGCATAGTTTGTGTGACAGCAAATTCACATTGTATAAGGACAATATCCTCATAGCCTAAAGATACACCTTGATGCTTATAGAGTCAGGTGGAGCTAATCCACCAATGCCAGGCTGTGCTCTTGCCCTTCTTAGGGCGTTACCACATGGGTACCCTCAGGGGCCACTTAATTAGCAACATCTTTCTATTCTTTTCTGCTTTTGTGTGTTATCAGTCCCTTAATTATTTTTTCTTTTCTTCTTTTTGTCAGGTTGTTATTTTAAAAACTTTTATTGGTTTGAATGCATTTATATATTGTATTTAATTCACATACATTGTGTTTTATACAAATAGTCCAAATGCATTGTTTTATACAATTAATTACTGCTGACCCATACCTTTTATCACTGTCTCATCAAGTCCCCATTGTTCCTTGTTTATTCCTTCAACTCCCTTTCTTCCTGCCTTTCAGTACAGTTACACATGCCTTATTCCTATTTGCTAATTGCAACAGCCATATTGTCCTTATGTCAAACCAGGGAGCGCTGGTGGCCTCATGATAAGAAACTGTGCTACAATCCCAAAGGCCCATGGTTTGAATCACTATACTGTGGGAGAAGGATGGGCAGTTTCCTTCATGTGATTTATCGCCTCTGAAAACCTACTGTGGGTTAGTTCCGACTCAAGACAAACAACAGCTTCATTTTCAGAGTCCTGGTGGCATAGTGCAGAGAGAGTTGTGTTGCTCATCTAACGATAGGTCCTGTGTGGCAGTTCCAATCCACTAGTGGCTCCAAAGGAGAAAGATGGGAGTGTTCCCCCCCCCCCCCCCCCCCCCCGCCATTATAACTTACCGCTTCTGAAAACCAGCTAGAGGATCCGCTATGATCATTTTGGTTCTGACTTAATGGCATTGAGTGTTTATTCCTTCATTTCAAGTTCAAGCAAAAGTTAGTATGAGTAGTACAGGCAACTCCCTAATGGCCTTCACCCAGATCTAGATTAAGTTGCAGACATCCTGCCCCTTTGCCCCTCAATACTTCAGTGTGTATTTCTTAGGAAAAAAGGCATTCTCCAAAGATAATTCTAAAGTTCAGGAAATTTAACATCAATGCAATATTATCTAACTTACAGTCCAGATATCAATTTCACCCACTGTTCCCCTAAGAGTCCTAAAGAGCAGTAAGTTTCCTGGACCAAGCTTGAGCCTTATCTTCCTTCATTTCATTTAGTCACTTAGCCATGTCTCTTCAGTTCCCTTATTTAATCTGGGCCAGTTCCTCAGCCCACTTGAATGAAATTTGCTTGCTTTGAAATTTGATAAACTGAGAGCATAGTGATCTGTGTCCCTGAACGTCTCCCTCTTTCTTTGCTCCCAGAACACAGATGTTTCCCTAGAAAGGATTTCCTAATACTGAAAATCATACAGCCCCCTTTCGCCCTTGCAGTGTTCTACTCTGTGCATGTTAGCATGCAGACCAAGGACCAAAACAACTGCAGACGTCTCTCCTCTGGATTCAGAACCATCTCAACAGTGATGTTTACAAGTCACTTGTTGAGAGGACTACAAGTTATTTGCAGAAGATCAAACTTCTTTTGTGTCCTGTTCCATATTCTGGGTTGAGTTGCTATCTATAGCCTAGTGTAGTTGTTGTTAGGTGCTGTCAAATACAACTTCTAGCAGCCTTATGAACAACAGCTATGACTCCTGTCCTATCCTGTGCCATCTTCACAGTCTCTGACACACTCAAGCCTGTTGCTGCAGGCACTGTGTCAATCCACCTGGTGGAGGGTCTTCCTTTCTTTCACTCTCCCTTCATCTTCCCAAGCATGATGCTGCTTTCTAAGAAGTAATTTCTCCTAGCAACATGCCCACAGTATGTAAGATGAAGTTTCATTATCTTTGCCTCCAAGGAGCACTTTGGCTCCACCTTCACCAAGACATATCTGTTTGTTCTTCTGGCAGTTCAAAGGATATTCAGTGCTCTTCTCCAACACTACAGTTAAAAGGCATCAATTCTTTTTCTGTTCTCCTTATCCATTGTCCAGCTCTCAGATGCACAGGAAGTGATTGTAAATGCTTAGCCAGGTCAAAACAGTAGCCAGATAGGTGATGGGATTGGTGTGACTTTTCTGAACTGTGTAATTAAAACAGAGTGATGAGTTTCTTCAAGCAAATGGCTTCCTGCTATTAACATCAACTGTAAGTAGCTAGTAGCTGTGTTTCTGACACTGAGCTTGATCAACAAAGGTCTATTCCTTCTTGAAAATATTATCTTCAAAATATTTGTCATAGAGGGAGGATGAATTTGTTGTTCATTGCAGTCAAGTGGGAACCAACTCATGACCACACTCCCGCGCCCCAGAAAGTTTTCTGAGACTGGAAGTCCCAGGAGCAGATTGCCTATCCTTCCATAGAGCAGCTGGTAGATTTGAACTGCCCAGCACAACTCTCTACTGACTTAGAGGCAAATGAATAGTTCCTTAAAATGTTTCTCTATTTTCTTTCGCATGAATGATTGTTGAATCGTGAAGAAGAATGTGAATAAACGTTGGCAGTTTGAATGTGCATCTCTTCTGAAGTCTGGAACTTCTTTATTCTTACAAAGAATGTGAACAGGGCCTCTTCCTCACTTGTTAAAACAATTTCCTTGTCATGCTAAAGTACTGGCTTGATGCTCACCTGTCAGCATGCCATTGATATGAACATAGCTGTGCTTTACTTCTCTGGTCTCCCCAGGCACCAATGTTTACGTATTTGTTGACCTGTGACCTGTGGATGTAGTCTTTTGAGGTCTTTGAGACTGTCCTTTATTTATGTCTGGCTCTCCTCTTCACAGGGCTTCTCTTCAGTGTCACAGAAGCCAGCTGCAACTTTGAGGAAGATCTCTGCAACTTTTACCAAGACAAAGAAGGCCTGGGCTGGAGCCGAGTGAAAGTTAAACCCAATATGTATCGGGCAGGAGACCACACGACAGGATTCGGTAAATCATCCATCTGGCATGTGATGCACTGTGGGGCTAGTGTTCCAACTCCATTTTCTTACAATTCTTACTCCTCACCTGTCAAGACCATGATCAAAACAAAGAAAGAAAAGGCGTGGTAATGAAGCAAAGGCTATTAAAAATAAACTTTTATTTGATCATTTTAAAAAGCTGGAATTCAAGTTGTTCAGCTGGCTTGAAAATATTTACCAGGTGAACAGCTAAGCCTTTGGAAGTTAGCTTGCTCATCATTTTAGGTGGAGCAATAGCTTTAAAAGCTGTCTAAAATCTTGGTCATATCCAGACTTTCTAGAGCCAGTGAGATTAGATGACGCCTTGAAACTATTACCCTGAGGAAATCCATAAACTTGGAATAGGTATTATTCCCTGAAGTTATCTTTCAGCCAAATAGCAGATCAGCCTAGAATGTTTGTCTTATGCCTTATGTTTCTTAAAGTCAGCTATATATGTGGTCAAACTGACAATAGCAATTCAGAGGAATAAATGAGAAACTTAAAGGAGTTGGGGAGTTTATATCAATGATGGTGAAACAGTCTGGAAAAATGGCACAATGAATGTTTTCTTAAAAAAAAAAGAAAGAGAAGTAGTAGGGGGAATGTGAACAATGAATGAAAGAAAATCTAACTTTTCTGTAAACTTTCATTAAAATCACTATTCAAAAAAAAAGTTTTTAAAAAGTGGCTCTTGAAGAATGTAACCAAAGCAATGGAATGAATTATTCCAATAGGGATGAACAAAGTGACATATATGTTTTATTGTATACATTGTCACAAAAAGGAAATACACATATAAGTAAAGAGGTTAATTGAGAAATGAAAGGCTATGTGATTCCATTTCTATGAAGTGTATCTTCTTGCTGTGATTGTTGTTATTGTGTATCATCAAGTTCGTACTGGCCCGTAGCTGACCCTCTGGCGGGTTTTCAGTGTCATTTAATCTCATGGAAGGAGAATGCCCATCTTTCTCCTGTGGAGTAGCTGGATGAGTCTGTGTGCCTTCAGGATTGCAGTGCAGCTTCTTACCGCTAGGCCACCAGAGCTCCCTATGAAGTATAAGTAAAACAGACCAATCCAAACCCAGGTGGTTCAAATGCACCAGTTGCTCTGGGTGCAATCTCCTCCTATGTGATTACTGCCTCTAAAAACTCCCTGGAACAGATATCCAACCACAATCGAATGGATTGAGAACATATGGTACATTCAAAGAATGGAATACTGCATAGCACACAGCAGCAATGATTTTGTAAATTATTACCTAACTTGGGAGGGACTGCAGAGAATTATGCTGAGTGAACTAACTCAGTCCCACAAGGCCAAATACTGTATAAAACCATTATTGTAGAATGAGTGTGGGGATCCAAGGGGGGTGGGGGGGGAAGGTGGAAGCAGAGGAGTGAGGTTGGGTGGCAGTGTGGGGAGAGTGTCACACAATTTGATGGGAGGGTGAGGGAAATGGAAAAGAACTGGTGTGAAAAACACTGTATTCTAATTTTGTACATAAACTGGAGGAAAAACTCGCTAGAGGGTCAGCTATGGGTTGATTTCAACTTGACAGTACACAATAACAACAACATAGAAAAGTAGAATAGCGGCTGTACGTGGCAATGTAGGGACAGAAGGTAGAATAGAGACACAATAGTAGAATAGAGTCTAGGGGGAGGGACACAGGTGACTGACTCCTAAATAGTCCATGGCTTCCATTTAAAAAGATGAGGGTGCTCGGAACCAGATCCTGAGAAAACTTGCACAGCATTGTAAATGCTACTCAGCTATATATCTTAAGATGGTTACAGTAGTAAATTCTATATTATATATCCTTTATTATCCTTAATATCAACAACTCATGGCTGCCAAATCATCTCATTTGATAAAAGTCATCCTCTGTACAGACCGTTGTTCAACTCCACTCATTACTGTGGAGCCGGAATTGATTCATTGCTGATCCTCCGTGGGTTTTCAGAGGTTGTAAATCGCATGGGAGGACATTGTACATCTTTCTCCCTCAAAACTGCTGATAGATTCAAATCACCTGCTTTGTGATTAGCAGCCCAACTCCTCCACTAGCCTCAGAGTTCTCTCATAATTAATATTGCTACTGTTGTTGGTGGTGTGTGCTGTGGAGTCAGAACCAATTCATAGCTGGCCTTCCAGCAAACTTTGAGTGGCAGTAAATTACATGGGAGGAGACTGTCCATCCTTCTCCCATGGAACAGCTAGTGGATTCGAACTACATGCCTCTGGGATCGCAGTGCAGCTTCTGACCATTAGGCCACCAGAACTTGTGTTGGAGCTCTGGTGGCTTAGTGGCAAGATGCTGCACTATGATCCATAGTGAAGGTGGTGCAGGAAAGGGCAAATTTCAGATCTGTTGTCCATAGGGTCATTGTCAGCCATAGTCCTCTTGAGAGTACCTAACAACAACAACATCATCATGATCATAATTCATTATATAATTAACATATATTAATAATATATCTCCACAATGCTGAATTCATAGATAACTCTCCACTGGGTTTCCAGGGCTGTAAATTGCACAAGAGGAGATTGTCCATCTTTCTCTCAGAGAGCTGCTGGTGGATTTGAACTGCCAGAGAGTCAGCAGTGTACTTCCTGTTACCAGAGCACTTGTGCTCTCTCACGCTCTCGACAGACACACAGATCCATGTATATTGGTGCATATATGTAAATATATATATATATATATATATATATATATATACACACACACACACACATATATATATGTATGTATAAAAGTTATTGGGAAAGGTTGGGTGCCTACTTAGTTGATATATCTGTGAGGAGTTTAGACATCGGAGTCTGTGATTTCCTTATATATTTTCTAACAGTTTAATGGTGTCTTTTAAAGACAAGCAGAAAGAATTTATTCTAAAGAGATTCAATGTTTTATCCATTTACTCAACAAATATTTATATACTAAAAACAAAGATGTTTTTCCCATGAAACTGAGCAAGTTGGGTTTTGAAGCCCCTTGCCTCAACAGGACCATAGGAAAAGACTTGGAAAGTGTCTTCTCAAATTTGTACATATAATTTTATATTATCTCCTTAAAGAAGCTGGCTAACTTTTATCCATTCAAGCCCTACAAAGGCTGATCTGACTTTGGCTAGCATCACCAAAGAGACAGGATCCTGCCCTGACTGAGAATTTTATCAGTGGGGAAGAGAACCATTAAGCCAGTATAAACGAGAATAAACTTACATTTACAAGCTGTGGTAAGTGGTATAAAGGAGAATGGGCTGTCAGAGAGAATAGAAGGAAGAACTTAACTTTGGTAGGAGACCCAGGGTAGATTTCTGAGGGGGAATGTAGGAGTTTTCTAGGAGAGTGAGAGCAATCCACATAAGAGGGAATAGCAGCCATGAAGTCCAAGTTGAGTAGGAAAAGCTGGACATCTCTGAGGACAGGAAGGCCACCATGGCTGGACCACAGGGAGGAGGGGAGAGTAGGAAAAGCTGGACATCTCTGAGGAATAGGAAGGCCAACATGGCTGGAACATAGGGCGGAGGGGGGAGAAGTAGCAGGAATGACATTAGAGCAGGCTCATGGAGGCATGACAGAAATGATAATGCATTTAGGATTTTATTACAAAAGAAATGAGAAGCCACTAAAGGATTTTTTTAAGCAGAAAGAAATGGCTTTAAAAAGAATTTTCTGGCTACTGCACGGTCACTTGTGTGAAGTAACTAAAGAGTCTTTTTATCAGATGACTTAAATCATTGGGCAAAACTAAACTGTTTAGTGTAATGTGTACCATTAGCTGAGGGGCCCAAAAGAAAAATAAATGAAGAGGGCCAGGAAAAAAGGAAAGCAGTATTTCTTTTTCTTGCCTACCCAGAATTTCCAGGATATATGGACCTGCTTTCAGCTCACCATGGAGGCGGTAAGGGTATAACAGGCGGAAGGACTCTGGATCTTCTTTTTCTTTCTCTTATTTAGGAACAATAAGGGAAGAGACTGGCTCAGGATAAGGCAGGCTTCAGAGTTATTGCACAAAGGGTCACTATGAGTCACAAGTGACTTGATGGCACTTAACAATAGCAACAACAACAAAAGGGAGCAGATGATCAGTACCTGGGTGGACTCATCTGATTAAAAGCTTGCGATTCAAGGCAGGTTTAAGACGTGAGCTGGAGTGTAGTTGGCACCACCCAGACATGCAAATCCCTACCACCAGGTCATAAGGCCTCTCTCCATGCCCACCGGTCACTGTAGAGATGATGAGGATTCCGCTTCAGACTTTATGATCAGCCTTTGCACTAACGTGACCTGGCACGAAGTACTCAGTGTAAACAAAAAAGAAAGGCTCAGGCCACTAGTGACCCCCAAGATGTTTGCATCCTTTTTCTTTTATGAAAGTTTCAATCTTAATAAATGACTGATATATGGTTATATGAGTTGGAAATCTATACTGGTTTATGGCATTTGCTTAGGATTGGAGGAGGTTTTTACCTGCAAGAGAATCACATACATATTTTCTATAATAAACCACAAACTTTAGAAAATCTTTTCTATCCTTTCAAGCCTAAGGGAATGTCTCTACCCACAACTCTATCCAAATTTTTCCACTTGATAATTTGCGCTATATGGCAGTACACATAATCTGTTCGTGGCTGAATGCACGAATGCTGAATTATCTTTTCTTCTTTTTAATAGGGTCTTACCTGATGGCCAACACAAAGTTTACATCTCAGCCTGGCTACATCGGAAGGCTCTATGGCCCCTCCTTGCCAGGAAACTTACAGTATTGTCTCCGTTTTTACTACGCCATCTATGGCTTTTTGAAAATGAGTGACACACTGGCTGTTTATATCTTTGAAGAGAACCATGTGGTTCAAGAGAAGATCTGGTCTGTGTTGGAATCCCCAAAGGGTGTTTGGATGCAAGCGGAAATCACATTCAAGAAGCCCATGCCCACCAAGGTACAGCAGAAACCACACCACACTCTGTCAGCTTCACTTGCTGATCGGGGTTAACAGTGAGTTCAGCTGTGGGAAGATAGCTAGAATACCATCCATGATGAATGCAAAAGGTCTTCTTTCTAGATCCTTAAATTAAGCTAGAGAGACAGAGACTGGGAAAATATTTCTTGGTCCTGATCCTTAGTGTTTCACAATGTCTTTTTAAGCCAGCTGTCACTGAGCTGATTTCAGTTCACGATAAACTCACACATGACCACCTAGAACTGTGCTCCGAAGGGTTTCCAGTGGCTCATATTTTGGAAGTAGACATACCAAGACTTGAACTGTCAACCTTTTGGTGTGAGGGTGAGCATGTTAACCATCTGCATTATCCAGAGTCTCCACCATCTCTTTAATACATGGAAAATTTTGCACTCTGGTCTTCTCTTTGAAGTATGCATCAAACGAAGATTCAGGTTGGAGTTAAAGCTTTATGTGAACAGTAGTAGGCTTCTAGAGCAAATGGCTCCTTTTTCATACAAAAATTAGGAGTCTAAAATATTTTTTTATGTGTTAGAAACCTTTTGAGGGGGGCATGAATCATGAAAATGGTTCTCTACATTGGATATCCCCCTTGTACTCAACTAAATAGAAATCTGGTAATTAAGAGCTATCTTAGACCTTCTATACTAGACAGGATAATGAAGAGAGAGCACACTTTACTCCTAAATGCTTTTCCTAAAAGCAAAGTCAGAGGAGTATAGAGAGTGATTGTGAGGGACCCCGTCGTGGCAGGGCATGAACGGTAAGCAGGCCTAATGCATTGGGGCCCTTGGGTTAGCTTTATATTCAGTCATTGTCATGTATATGTGAGGTCCTGCAGTACTTCCTGGTCCAAAGCTAGTTTTCCCTTTAACAGAGGGGTTCTGTTAATGAGAAGCACTGTGAGGAACAAAATATTGTCTTCAGTAAGTATTGCTTTTGGAGGAAAAGAAGATGTGACATTGCCTGTAAATCAGAGAATGACCAGGCATTCTGTTTCATCCAGTGTGGCTTAATGATCAACTCAGAAATCATGAAGATTTCCACGGTGAAGCCTTCTAAGTCTACATTGTTACTGTTAAAGAATTAAATACCAAGTAAACTTCAAAGTCACTTATGTTGTGACCATTGTCGAAATGGGGGTTGTCTGGTTACACATAAATGAGCGACATTTTGGGAGCAAAACCTCATCTGATAAATGTGAAAAATATAAATAACATTTTTATCAGTGATTAAGACTCTTAATGTCAACCTTCCCCATAATATGTCCCATGGGATTCTGGGGTCATGTGAGTTTGAGCTGTTGTGGACACTGTAATCTACTCTGTGTACATAAATGAAGGCTCACAGTGCAGAGTTCTAATATATTAGAAACCCTAACAAACTCTGCATTAAGGAATTCTGTTTAACTTTGTTTAGGTAGCAATATCCCAAGCACTTGACCTAGAAGGCTGGTCTTCCAGGGCTCCCATCAGCATCAACTTGGTACGACAGCACTTAATGCTCTTTATTGCTATTGTCTACTTACCTTCCTACCTCTTTCAATCAGACTATAAGCTTTTAGAGGATAGAGATTCCCGTCTCATTTGCCTTTAATCTCCAATGCCAAGACACTTTTTAGAACAGAGTGACTAAGCAATATTGTCTAGAAAGAGAACTGAACGGTCAAAGGCTATGTGTTACTGTCAAGATAGAGACAAGATGAAGTGTCTTCTTTTGGACCCTACAAGACACAGTCCTTTATAGCCCAGAATTTGAGCAGTTCGTTCTGTAGAAATGTTTTTACTGGGGTGTGTGCAGGGACTTGGGGGGAGGTTATGGTGAAGAGCATATGTGGATATATGTGTACGCAAACACTGGTTTGCGGTTTTTGTGATTGGATTTGCCAAGCCAAGTTGTGCCTTTTCTCTCTGAAATAACTTTCCACTCTTGTTTACTGCTGTGGAATGATGTCATTCTGGATCACACATTGTTTCCTAGGGTTGGTTGTGGATAAGACTGTTGTGATTTGTAGGGATTTCATGCTGATTTTGGATAATCTTAATCTAGAAGCTTTGCTGAAACGTGTTCAGCTTTTTAGCAAGACACAAGTCACCACTGACACATGGGTGGTGGATGTGTGTAAAGCACCTTGGCTGGGAATAGAACCTGGGACTCTTCCATGAAAGGCAGGTATTCTACCATTGAACCATCTTGCTATGTTTCTTGTTGTTGTTATGTGCGATTGAGTCAACTGTGCCTCATAGTGACCCAATGAACAGTAGCTCTGAACCCTACTCTGTCCTGAGCCAATCTCGCTGTCTCTGACACACCTACTCCCATTACTTCAGTTACTGTGTCAATCTATGTCATCCAGGATCTTCCCTTCCTACAGTGATCTCCCACCTTCCAAGCATGATGTCCTTCCCTGAGGACCAGTCCCTCCTGGCAACATGCCCAAAGTATGTGAGACGAAGTTGAAATGCTTGGCTCCAGGGAACAGTCTGGCTTCAGCCTCTCCAGGACAAACTTGTTTCTTATTGTGGAAGTCCATGATAGCACCTCCAACACCACAACTCCAGGCATCAATTCTACTCTTATCCTGAGTCTAGCTCTCAGCTACATAGCAAGTAATTGTGAAGATCATGGCCTGGATCAGGCACACCTTAGTCTCCAAATTGACAACATTGCTCTTCAGCACTCTGACAAGGTCCATGACAGCAGAGTTTCCCAATACCACTCTTCTTTTTTCTGATTGCTGGTGCCAAGAGTGTTGAATGTGGAGCCAAGCAAGATGAAATTGTTAACAATCTCAATCTCTTCTCCATCTATCATGATGTTTGTCAATTGGCTTGGTGGTGAGAATCTTTGTTTTCTTGATGTTGAGCTTCAATCCATATTGAAGACTGTAGTCCTTGACCTTCTGCAGCAGACGCTTCAGGTTCTCCTCAGGGTCAGCAAGCAAAATTGTGTCATCTATATAATGCAAGTCATTGATGAGTCTTCCTCCAAACCTGATTCCCTCTTCATAAAGTCCAGCCTCCTGAATGATCTGTTCTGCATAGATAGAAAAGGTATGGAGAAAGGACACATTGCTGATGCACTCCTTTTCTGATTTTGAACCATGCAGTGTTTCCTTGCTTTATTCGGATGACTGTTTCCTGGTCTAAGTATAGATTTTGCATTAACTCAACCAAGTGTTCTGGGATTCCCATTCTTCTCAAATGTCACAATACATTATGATCCACACCATCAAATGCCTTTGCAATGTCAATAAAACACAAATAGATGTTCTTCTGGTCCTCTCTGCTTTCAGCCAAGATTCATCATCTGACATTAGCAATGATGTCTGGAAGTGCCGGAGCCTCTTCTAAACCCAGCTTGTATTTCTGGCAGTTCCTATGCTTACACAATAGTTTCTGTTTTCAAAAACCAGTGTCAGGTCTCACTAGCTTCTTTCAGTTTTTCTGAACCCTCTGCTCCAGCGTCCATTCTGAGCTCCTGGGCACTGATGCGCTCACGTCACACTCACTCCACTCCACACTTTGGCTTTTCCCATATTGCTCCTCCTAACTTTGAGAACCTTCTGTAGTTGCTTCATCTCCTTTCCCCCCAAGGCTTCTCCACGCAGCTGGAGAAACTAAAACTAATCTCCAGTGGACTGTGCTGCAGGAAAGCCTTTCATTTGTCTCATTTCTCCTCCTTGACTTCCTTTTCAGGGCCCCACCCCAGCTGTTTGGACCATTTCCACTGTTTCAATTTGGCACTCCTTGCCTCATTCCTGGGCTGTGACCTCATGAGATCTTCTATCAGAAGGGCGCAGGCAGGCAGCACAAGGACCTCAGCTCCGAGCCTCCCTGACTGTTCACGTGCCTGTCTGACGGCACCTTCATCCCCTTCAGAGTCTGACGAAGGAAATGTTATCTTCATATTCTTCAAAATGAAATCCTCTCCCTGTTCTTTTTGCCATTGCCCTTCCTGCTTCCTTATGGCCTTATTTCATGAGTTCTTTCTTTTCTCTTAATTCATCAATCTCCATTAGTCCTACGGCATCTGTAGAGCTGGGTCCACCCAGTGTGCTAACTCACTGTGTCATCCTGCCCCAGTCCCATGAGGAAGGCTGGTCTGTGGGGAACCCCTCCCATGGCCAAAGTAGCCCTCTACCCACCCTCACACACATACATAAGTGAAGCAATCTCTCTTTGTGTGTGTGTCTCTCTCTCTCTCTCTCTCTCTCTCTCTCACACACACTCACACAAATAGAAAACACTGGGTAGAGAAGCCTGACCCCACCCTGTCCCCAGGTGCAGGGATGCTCACTGCTTTGTGCCTCTGGTCCCACTGACTCCATCTTTGGCCATTTCTTTTTCCACTCCAATTGGCCAAAACAGAGACCCTCTCATTCTTATGCCTTGGGTAAGGGTTGGGGTTGGGGGGGAGAGTCTCCTGGGGGTGAGGGGTGCTGGTGAGTTACTGCACTGGGTGACATTTACCACCCATCCTAGTGACACCACCACCTTGGTGGCTTCCCACATCTTTGGCCCCAGACTGCAATCTGGCACTTCCATTGTGGATTCTGAGATCCTTCTAGTGTAAGCTCTCTGAAAGAGTCATGGGCTGTGGTCCTCTCCCCATACCTAATCAGGGAACGCCACTGCATTAGTCTTTTAAATACTGTTTGACCTCCTGCCCTCAACACAAGTGAACAGCAAACCTTCTTTGCCCCTCAATGTCCATGTATCTTGCCACCCTATCCCATTTCGCAGCCTCCAAACTTCCTAAATGTTTTCTATGCTCTTGTGGCCTAGTGGATAAGGAGCTACCAATCCAAACACACTTGGTTTGAACACATCAGCTGGTCCAAGCGAGAAGGATGGGCAATTTCCTCCCGTGTGATTTAGTCTCTGAAACCCCTCTGAAGGGTCAGCTATGAATTGGTTTCCACACAACAGCACATGTCAACAACAATGATCTAGTGTAGTTTCTCTTTCCTCAAATGT